AATGGTTGTTGCTATTTATCCCAAAAATTCCCAAGAGAAGAAGCAAATCTTACTGAGAAAATTATTAGTTCAGTTTTGGACATACCAAAGTTGAGGTGCTCATGGGCATTCCAGGAAGCAATCAGAATTAGACCTAAAGTTAGCAAGCTTACCCTCAGAAGTTCATCACTTCCTCCTGTGTACTGCTATGGAATTTATCACATCCTACCACACGACAATTATGTCTCCACAACCATCCTCTACTGTCAGACTACCTTAAAGGCACGTAGGTCCTGCCATGTATGGGCTCAATAGTGTTGATTTTTTTAAAAATGCAGAATTTGAAGATCCGTACAATTAAAAGACTAAATTTTATCGTATATAAATAAAGGTCTGATTTTTAAAAATTATTCTTCATCTGTGGATTTTAAATAAGGCTGAAATTTTCATTTGGCAGAATTCTTACAAAATACAGGTAATATGTAAACAAAATCTTTTTTTTTTAATTTCATCACATGAAAATTACTAAATGTTACCAAGCAGTGAAACTCTGGCATCATTACTAGGTCTATAAACCTGAAAAAGAGTAATACAAGTCAAGAAGCATATAAATAAGGAAGAGAGAATCCAATGAAGACTTCTTGAAGTGCATTTAAATTAAAATTCTTACGAAGTTTGTTAAAATAACTGCAATGTGAATTGAAAAGATTTCACTTTTTAATTTACAGGTTACTTGAGTTCAGTAAGTTAAAATGAAAGGCCTCTGGACCCTGCCAGCACATGTTATTAAAAAAGCAGTGATAAGTAGCATCTAGCAAATGTGCACAGTTGTAAGTTGCTGCCATCCCCAACCCACTAGCATTAGTTTGACTGCTAATCCTTTCACTTAAAATTTGTCAAAGCACTTCCTAAAGAATGCTTCACTGGCAGTATTTACCACCTACACTTTAAATATGGTCAATTCTATCAAGGCTCCAACAGCAGAACAGACTGGCTGCCAGTTCTATATTTAATAGCAAATCATGACAATTTAATTTGTGCTTGACAACTAGATACCTGAAACCATTCCCTGGAAATGTCACTACAATATTGTTACTTATTTGGAGGGGTAGGACCCAAGAGAAAAACAGGTCATTAGTGGTGAATGGGTGAAGAAGACAGTAGCATTAGGGATGGAAAAATAGCAATACAACACAAACAGACTTAAGAGAACTGTGAAACTGCAGCATTCACGGAATGAAATTCCTACAACACAAAATAAACACAGAGATGTAAACCTACACTTTCTCATTTGAAATCGCATAAGCAAAGATCAAATGTATATTGATTCTAAGTTTATATAACAAAACCCTGAAAACTTTATACCAATAGAAAATATTGTTAAATTAAAAAATATTCCCCCAATTTTGGCCCTACTTTTTTTGCTCTATGAAGCAATTCATAAGGGGAAAAAAATAACTTCAGACTATAAATGATGAATGTAACTATTAGGAGTAGCCTCTCTATGAGGTCTGAAATAGAAGGAAAATGTATATTTCTTCCAAAGCTGTAGCCAACAATAACTTTTGCATTCTGAATCCAGCTTAAGCACATTAGTAGGGAAGATGTTTGCAAAAGTATTTAATAAGAAAGTGCTGAATTTAGCTTTTATTTTATTTTTTTCTCAGTTTTCTTAAGTGGCCTGCAGTCTATCAAATGCATTAAGCAGAACCTCTCCTAAGTATAAATGATAAAAAGGAAAAAAAGCTTTATTATTATAGAGACCTGTTTCTATAGATAAAGGGTCACCAAACTTTTTCTGTAAAGGGCCAGATAGTAAATACTTTCAGCTTTACTGGCCATGTGGTCTCTATCACAAATACTCAACTCTGCCATGAAGCATGAAGGCAGAGATAGATAATAGATAAATGAGTAAAACCTTATTTTCAAAAACAGGCAGCCAGTCCATGAGCCCATGGCCATAGTCTGTTGATCACTGCTGTAGAGCATATTAATTATGTATCAACAAATATATTGCTTTAAAAATAACACCAAATTTAAAACATGTCTGAAATTTGCTTTAAACTGTTGCATTAAAAACAAGTGGAGAGTAGGGGAAAAGGTTAAATAAGACTGGCAAAACACAGTTATTGTTAAAGCCAGATGATGGATACATTGGGTTCATTATACTCTTCTGTATAATATATACTAGTGGCCTGGTGCACGAATTCATGCACAATGAAAGGAAATTAATTGGAAGGAATAGTTTAATATCGCTATTCGAACTTTCCCTATAATAGAAGTGTCATCCAAATTCACAATCGACAATGACAGATCGAAACACATGTGCGCAATTGGCACCAGCAAGAGCTTTATATGTATCATGCATATGTGAGTCAACTTAGCCTTTTATATATGTAGAATAAACTTGCTTAATTAGACCTGCTTTCTGATTTAGCTAAACTTTTTCCAGCCCAGTAAAGCACCCCAACTTCCCTTTCAGGTAATTGTCAGCAACACAGCAGTAAATATCAACATGAAGCAGATTATTATTGTAGATCACGCAGGGAGAAAAAAGGGTAAAATATTTAACTGCCGCAGTGTTTTACTATATTCTGCACAGTGAGAAAACCTGAAGTCATTTTCAAGATCCACCATTTCTTACTTCTTTTCAGTCAGATCAAGTATCTAAGCTTTCTAAATCTCCATTTTCCGGCTAATGAAAAGAAAATAGGATTCCACTGAGTCTCCTATCTACCTATTCCAGGACTTCTGTGAGGATCAAATGAGATGAGGCATGGGAAAACATTTCACAGATATGTGGTTACAGTGTGAAATGTTTGCACCTGGCTATAAAGCAAGTCATGTTCCTGGACTGAAGAAACTGCAAGGAGGCTAGTTGTTACTAGGGAGAGTAAGCCGGGCATTGCTATGTGATGTCATTACCCTGATGGACACTTAGCATATTAGCTTTTAATATATGTAGATTATATATAATACGTTTTAAAACACAAAGTAAATCGGTGGACTGGCTCTCTACAGGAAAATGAATTTCCACACTTTACTATAAACCTTCTAAAACACATTTGACGTTTTTAAACATAATTAACATAATACAACATAAAAGATTCTGTTTTGTTTTGTTTTGTTAATCCTCACCCAAGTATATTTTTACACTGATTTTTTTATGGAGAGTAGAAGAGAGAGGGAAAGACAGAGAGAAACATCGATGTGAGAGAAACACATCGATTGGTTGCCTCCTGCACAAGCCCTGACCAGGATCTGGGCCAGGGAGGAGCCTGCAAGCAAAGTACATACCATTGGCCGGAATCGAACCTGGGACTCTTCAGTCCTCAGGCCGACGCTCTATCCACTGAGCAAAACCAGCTAGGGCAACATAAAAGATTCTTAACATAAAGCTACTAAACCATAATGAAAAAACTTAAACTAATAAACTAAATATACTAAAAGTGTATAAAGGATAAACCCTTAACATTTTCCATAATTTAAAACACAAGGCCCTGGCCAGGTAGCTCAGTTGGCTAGAGCATTGTCCCAATATTCCAAGGTTACCTGTTCAGCCTCTGGTCAGGGCACATATAAGAATCAAACAATAAATGCATAAATAAATGGAACAACAAATCAATGTTTCTCTCTTTCTCTCTCTCTTTCTTCTTCTCTCTAAAATCAGTAAATTAGAAAAAAAAACTGACTCACCTCATACAACTCCCAAATTAGTACATTTATTTTATCCTCATCTCATCCAATCTCTGGTTTTTGAATATAATTACTAGAGGCCCAATGCACAAAATTCGTGCAAGGGCTCGGCCCCCACAGCCCTGGCTTCGTCCAGAAGGTTGTCCGGAAGGACATCCAGAAGGTTGTCCGGCTGTCCGGTCTAATTAGCATATTACACTTTTATTATTATAGATTTTTAGGGCAGACATATATTATTTATGTTAACATATAATAGGTTTAATTTTCAAATGAATTAAATAATTTTTTCTCAGTTTTAAACTCTAGGCAATAAATATTAATAGATAAAACCCCCCACATAAACAGACGCTGATCAAGGTCTCCAATAATTAAGAGTGTAAAGGAAGCCTGAGACCAAAAAGTTTAATAACCTGTAACCTAAATGTTTTCAATGTTGTTTAAGGTATGTTCACCAAAAAAGTATTAGATATATGCTCAAACGCATTTTTTCTTGGAACAATAAATGCCACACAGTGGAGTCCATCCATTATGAAGGCTATCAATACACACCCACAGGAGGAAGACACTTAAACCTTCAAAAGAAACATTCTTTTAAAATTGCTGGACATGTCAGGAATAATGCATCCATGTCAGGAAAAAAAGAGTTCTAATGTGTTGTCCCTCATGCAGATAATTGTCTCCTGAACCAATAATAAAGAAAAACTAGTATGTGCCAACTGACATTTCCAATAAATATGCTATTAAATCAAGATATGCAGTCTCACTCAATGCAGGAAGCCAGAAATCAAGCGGAGAAGAGCCTTAGGCAAGAAATCTTAATGACTGTGCAACTTTTCAAAAACTGAGTGTGTTTTTTAAATATTCTAATTTTTTCCTCAATCTTCTGAAATACAGTGATTTCAAATATTATCAAAACTAAAAAGTAAATTACATTAGGCAAACAGAATTATTGTGACATTTGAGAATAATTGAGAACTCTGTGAAAACACTGCAACTATGCTAGGATATAATCTATATCAAAATTTTCTAAATCTAAAATGTGAATAAACAATTTGTAACAGATAATTAGAGCAAAGAGATTTACATAAATGTTCATTCTTTTATAAATTAAACCAATACTTATTTTCCTAATACAGTACAATTGTAGCATTCTTAACTAATGCTGCCCCTTTGGTCTTCATATTGTTATTGAAAATGTTGTCAGACAATATCATTTTTATTTAAGTACAAGTTTCCCAGTTAAGTTTTATCAATGTTGTTATTTCTATTGTCTTTTGTCAACATGAATAACTTAACATAGTAATAAGATGCAGAGACATACATACATCATACTCTGCAATTCTGAGGCAAAGCTTGCAGACTTTCCTGTACTTCTTCCACTACTTGAAGTGGCAGTAGACATTGGGCTGGCTGCAGTATTATTCATCTAAATAGAAAAGAGAAATAACACAAAATGTATTTAATTATAAATAAATGCGAGGAAAACAAAAGCAATTATAAATTACATCAAAAAGTATAGAAAATTTTAAATTTCTGATTTTGTGTGTAAATCTGATTTTTTTATACTTAATGTTCTTTATTAAAATGAAATAGTAAGCCCAGCCGGTATTGCTCAGTGGTTGAGCATCAACCCATGAACCAGGAGGTCACAGTTTGATTCTCGGTCAGGGTACATGCCTGGGTTGTGGGCTTGATCCCCAGTAGGGGACATGCAGGAGACAGCCCATCGATGATTCTCTCTCATTGATGTTTCTCTCTCTCTCTCTCTCTCTCTCTCTCTCTCTCTCTCTCTCTCTCTCTCTCTCTCTCTCCCTCTCCCTGGCTCTCTCTAAAGTCAATAAAAATGTATTTTTTAAAAAAGGAATAGCGTCAAAACCGGTTTGGCTCAGTGGATAGAGCGTCGGCCTGCGGACTGAAGGGTCCCAGGTTCAATTCCGGTCAGGGGCATGTACCTGGGTTGCGGGCATATCCTCAGTGGGAGATGTGCAGGAGGCAGCTGATCGATGTTTCTCTCTCATCGATGTTTCTAACTCTCTATCTCTCTCCCTTTCTCTCTGTAAAAAATCAATAAAATATATAAAAAAATAAATAAATAAAAAAATAAAATAAAAATAAAAAGGAATAATAAGGTGGGAAAAAACTGCTTAGTCATGTATGATATAAAGAATTACTCCCTTGAGTGATAAAACATTTCAATACATATTTTATAAGTAATGGGAAAAAAATAGTCATTAAAATATTTTAATAGAGCTCAGTGGTTTTCAAAATGTGTTCCAGGGAGCCCTAAGACTCACTGGCACTATTTCAGGGAGCTCCCAGTGGCCCCCAAGCATATACCTCATCAGTTCCATCCAGAACACCAGAACAACTCAATATATAAATAGAGTTCCAAGTGAGATTTCATTTAAAGAATAAAATTGTACAACTGTAAGATACAAAATTAGAAAATCCAAGCACAATCTAATCCCTATATGAACCAAAGCCTTAATACAAATAATATAAAGTCAATCAGTAGATCAGAAGAAAGCATTGTGATACTTTATAATCTTACTAGAGTCCCAGCGCACGAATTCATGCACAGGTGGAGTCCCTCAGCTTGGCCAGCGATCGGGGCTGATCAGGGCCAATTGGGGCCAGTTGGCCAGGGGGAGGGACCGCAGGAGGTTGGCCAGCCAAGGGAGGTTGGCTGTGGGAGTGCACTGACCACCAGGGGGCAGCTCCTGCATTGAACATCTGTCCCCTGGTGGTCAGTGCACATCATAGCAGCTGGTCAATCAGTCGTTCGGTCACTTAGACTTTTATATGTATAGACTAGAGGCCCGATGCAAGAATTCATGCATGGGTAGGGTCCCTTGGACTGGCCAGAGATCGGGGCCAATCGGGGCCATCTCGCCCAGTCTTGATCGGGCTGACTGGGGCCAGCTGGCCAGGTGGAGGGACCACAGGAGGTTGGCCGGCCATGGGAGGTTGGCTGTGGGAGCGCACTGCCCACCAGGGGGCAGCTCCTACATTGAACATCTGTCCCCTGGTGGTCAGTGTGTGTCACAGTGACCGGTCATTTGGTCGTTCGGTCACTTAGGCTGTTACTAGTATGTGTGTGTGTGTATATACACACACAGACACATACACACACACACACACACTAGAGGCCCGATGCACAAAGATTCATGCAAGAATGGGCCTTTCTTCCCCTGGTTGCTGGTACAGCCTTCACTCTGGCTGGAGCCGCCTTTCTGCCTTCGCTCCAACCTGGAGCCGCCTTTCTGCCTTCACTCGACCCGGAGCCACCTTTCTGCCTTCTCACGCTGCCCAGAGGCCCGGAGCGGCTGGGGCGGTGTGGAACGCCTGCGTTGATGCAAGCATCCCACCCCTGGCCACTCAGTGCCTGCATATGTAAATTAACCTGCTATCTTTGTTGGGGTTGATTTGCATGCTCACTCCTGATTGGCTGGTGGGCATCATGAAGGTACGGTCAATTTGCATCTTTCTCTTTTATTAGTGTAGATAGATATATAGAGATGGTTAAGTAACTCATCAATTTTAAATTGTGTGACTTTTTTCCCAATAAAATTAAGCTGACACTAATGGGAAAACTAGATGATAATCCTAATATATCCCATTTTATTTAATAACTGTCCCATAAATAAGGATTAATAAAATAATATTAAAATAATGCAAGTAGATAAAAACCTTATTACACAGTAAGTGCTCAATAAATGTTAGCTATTGATTCATGGTCATATAAACCTTGCAATACTATAACTTTCTTTAAAATAAAAATACTTTGCAAATTCTTAAGAAGAATTACATTTAGAACAAATGATAAAATAAAGCAGTGCTAAGAACTTTAATTATAGTCAACTAATTAGGAAGAGTCCACAGTCAGACTGCCCAGGTTTGAATCCCATCTTTGCTACTTTGCTATACTTTAGGCAAGTTACTTGACTTTCCTGTGCTTCAGTTTCCTCATCTGTAAAAAGGAATAATTTCACCCTCTTAGTGTTGTTGTGAGGCTTAAATGAACTAATATGTTTACAGCAGTTCTAAGCATACAATGTTTGCTTTGTTATAAACAGAAAGATCTTAAGAAGTCTCTTTCTTGATTTGCTAACAGCTTTTTTATGACAAATTTAGATTACTCTCATTTCATAATCACAAAAATTTAAGAAACTTGAATATTTTCACTGAAAGACCTTAATGTAATTCAACAAATAATAAGTTATTTCCTTATAAGTTCTGTTTTCACTACAGACATCACTACTGTTACCGGTCACCCTATCTCAAAAATCTGTCATTTATCTTTGACTCCTCCTCCAGCACCCTATAATCTATTGAAAGCTAAATAAAGTCTACTTTATGTTCTTAGAGGTCAAATAAATTCTACTTTATGTTCTTACATTCTCCCTCTCTTTTTCTACCCTATGGCCCTTTATAAGCTCTATTTATAGCTTCTCTCTTTCCATCTCAATTCATTCTCCACATTGCTGCCAAATTTTATCTCCTGATGCATTCTCTAATATGACCACTTCTATGGGTAATGTTGGCTAAAATTGATAAAGGAAACCTGAACCAGGGCCATTCACCAAGAGCTGGGATGGAAGGGCAGGGCCTTATGAAAGGCGGTTGGAGGAAAAAAACCTACTACCAACCACTGCCTACATAGGCCATATATAAAGCTTCTGAGAAGGCAACGGGACAGGGATCTACAACAAGAGCACACTAGCTGAGTGGCTAGATGGGAAATATCTGAAATAACCTTCTGTGGCAGAACCAGCTATCTGCCAACATAAGCCCTGGCCTAGTCCAAGGGCCGTAAGGGCCAGGCCAAAACCACCAGACAGAGAATGCAAGAGCAGAGAAAGAGAAGGAAAAAAGTTTCACTCAAATTGAGCCTGAAAACCAAAATTCTAAAATAAATAAAGAAGCTAATGCTATGAAACACCATCATTATTTTTTTTAAGTCTAAATTTGCTTTATTATTTTTCAAAAAGTCTTTTGGAATAAGTAATTTTCTACAAATAATATGGGAACTCAGCTTTAAATAAAAAACCATATCACCAATCCAAGATTGGGAAAATAGACACCAAACCAAGAACTTCCAGGAACAGTCCTGAAGAATCAAGACAAAGTGCTAACAAAGAAACCTGGCTTCCTCAAAGACCTTAGAAAATGTTTCCCTTATTGTCCCAACAGAAGACTGACAGAGAGGTATGATATCCTAGAGAAAAAGTTAAACTCAGAGACTGTGTATTAACGCCAGGCTCCAAAAACAGTTATGACTTAGTTCACTCATGTTGGATTTGAAGACATGCCATTCTGTGGGATTTTCCTGTGGCCAAATGTCCTGAGACATTGTTGAAGGAATCTGCCCTTTTTTCATTTTACAAACCCAGTCACCCTGCTTTAACACTTTCTAAAGGGGAGACATTTCAGAAAGTAAATTCATATTAAAACCACAGCTTTCTTCAGTTGTCCTCCTACTGCAAATGTTTCACATCAAGAGTATTTATTGGTAAGAGGTAAAAGGTCCCAATCCTAGTTTATTATAACCACGATCATCCTTTCACAGTCAAGTTATTTAACTTTTAAATCAAACAGGTGAATAAGATTTTTCTTGACATGATGAGCTGATAGCTCATTAGAATCTTTAAAATAATTATTTCCCATACCCATTTTGTTTGATGATTTAGATAATTAACTTCTTTCGACATTAACTTCTTTACACATCAAAGTCCTATCACTCCAGTGCTTTATTTCCTTTCTCCCAGACATTTAAAAAAAAAAAATGTTGGTTAAAAGCAGAAGCACTCAAGTCAATTTTCTCTAATAAATACAGTTAACATGGAACTGAAAACCTACTGTAATCTTCTCAATGGGTTAATGTCCTACAGTTGTTTTAGCTTTCCATTGAAATGCAGCTGTTTGCCATATTTTACAAAACGAATTCAGATGTGCAGATGGAGACCTAGATTATTTCAACATGCCACAGTTTAAATGTGAACCCAAGGAATAAGTTCATCTCTGATTAATACTTATATTTAAACCTGATCACTAAGCCAATAGCCGATACTATGTTACACCTGTAAAATCCTGTTCCAAAATAGAAAATTTGACATCTTTTAATTTAACATAATGAGATTTAAAGATATACTCCTTTCCTCAGAAAATACAACAACAAAAAAAATTAACTATGGTAAATCACAAATGTAAATTTTAAAAAAAGGAATGGGCATGTTCTCATAATAGCTCGTATTTTTGATGACTAAATGACCAAAAAAGAAATAACCATGAAACATCTTTAGCTTAAAAAATAACTCAAAGAATTGGAAGTATATTACTAGTTTCAGCACTCTCAAAACATCAAAATCTGAATTGTGAAATCCATAACTCTACCCATTCATTAAAAGACAGTAGAAATTTTTTATCATTTCTACTATCTCATGCTGAGGAAAATTAATTCAGCAGGCCTATAATATACCGATTCTGAGCACCCGAGTCTCAATTCCAATCATTCATAACTTGAACATTTCACATAATATAAATAGAAAACTGTTATACTCAGAACATTTTCATTTTCGTAAAACTCCAAAGGCAGGAAGCAATTATGGTTAGGCCAACATTATTATATACTGCATTTTAGTTTTGTAAAAAAAAAATATAAGTTACATTATGATCTTAATTTCTCCTGTTGTAAAAAAAAAACAAAAAAAATAAATGACCACTCAATCACTGAGAATTCAAAGAAAATAAATTAAAATGTACAAATTTTAAAACTTCTATACCTAGTATTTGGGATAACAATATGGTAATCTAATATATTTATATATGACCCATTTCAAGTGAACTTGGAAGGTATAAAACTCAAATGTCCATTCAATTATCTGCTACAAGAGAAGTAACATGAATAATCCAAAGAACAGATGATTCACATATAATTTATAACTTTTTTGAAAATAATCGCAATTTTTATGAAACAGCTTCTAATTGCATTTTCATAACTAAAACATCATCTGTATTCACCTACCATACAAAAAAAAAATGAGCTCAGATCCTGAAATAAGATGTATCTATCATAGCACTTCTTATACTGCTTAAAAACAGGAACATTGTAATTTCGATAACTAATAAACTGCCTGACATAGCTAATGTTCAATAAATGGTAGGTAAATTTAAAAATGACTGAAAGATATAACAAAGAATACAAAGATAAGAAAAACACACCCCCACCATTTAGTAGCTTACAACCTACTGAAGTTAACAGATATACCCAATGCAATGAGCTTAGAGATATTGTAATGCACAAGATACTATGAGAGAACAGGAGGAACATCAGAACCAGTCAATTATTACGGGATAATTGTACTGAAATTTAACACTTCCTATAATCTGAAAATAAACCAAACTTAACTGTACTTAAAAAAACACAGAGATAAGTGAATAGCAAATCCAAACTACCCATATCTCAGAAGTGAAAGTACTTTCAAAATTGTGATGCACCATAAACAGCAATATATGACCTAAGGAAATATTCTGCCTTACCACTCAATTATTTTTCTTAAAATCTAATGGAACAGGAATAAGTCTTCCCAATCCAAATCAGTCTGATTCTAATTAATATGTGTAAGAAGCTATAAATATTCATAAGAAACACCTAATGATCAAAATAACAAGTTATTAGGAATAATATAAGCAAAGAACCACAATTTTAAAACAATTATCAAAGACTTTATATTTAGAGACAGAAAAACCCTTCTCTGTAATATCTGATACTACTACCACACCTGTTTCCATGTCCAGCAGTTCTATAAGAACACGACTAGTCTTCAGTCACACAAGGTCAAAAACTCCAAGACATTTAAATTGTTCAGCTCCTTCCCTGCCTACAACCAGGAACTCTGGTCCTGACATTTTTTCTTATAAAAAAGCAACTCTAAATCAATCCCTTCCTTTTCAATTTTACCTTAATGCCTTTACTGCATTATCTTTTAAACCTCCCATCTTTCTAATTAATTCTGCAAAATATCTCCAGAGTACTCATTCTAAATATGTTACTCCTCTACTCAGAAGCCTCCAATGGCTCCCCTTTGCCTGGAAAACAAAACTTGTCACTGGACCTCTCCAGCTTCCTTTTCTATAGCAGTCAAACCAAACATTCGATATCTCCCAAACCATCCCAGGTTCTTTTGAATCTTCATTGTTTTTCCTGCTTGCAATACCTTGTTACCTCTCCACCTATCTAAGTCCTAGTGGTCTAGAAAAGCCTGACCTAAACTCATTATCACCAAGAAGCCTTCCCAGTGACACAACCATTAAGAACTATTTCTCTGACATCTAATTGTTTCAGCTTACTAATTCTTTTGGTTTAACATTAAATATTTTAGTACATACTAATTATTTTAATTTATTAATAAACCTCTGCCCGATAATCTCTCCAACTACTGGCAGGTGAGAAGTAAAAAGCCTTTATTTAGTAACTTCCTCCATTCTCCTCTAATAAAGCTAATACATCCTTTCTTGATTCCCTCCTCTTACAATAAAGGCACCCTCTCATTTAAAGCCAGTGTATCACCTGTGCTTTGGTTTATTCATTTATAATTATTTACTGGGTACCTACTACAGGCCAAACACTGTTATAAGAGCTAGCAGGGGTGGGCAAACTTTTTGACTTGAGGGCCACAATGGGTTCTTAAACTGGACCGGAGGGCCCGAACAAAAGCATGGATGGAGTGTTTGTGTGAACTAATATAAATTCAAAGTAAACATCATTACATAAAAGGGTACGGTCTTTTTTTTTTTTTAGTTTTATTCATTTCAAATGGTCTTTTTTTTTTTTTTTTTAGTTTTATTCATTTCAAACGGGCTGGATCCGGCCCGCGGGCCGTAGTTTGCCCACGGGTGACTAGGGCTAGAGTAGTGACAGAAGAGATACAACATAATGCAGGAGAAAAGCACATAAATATAATCTGAGGTAGTGACAAATGCTTTGAAAACTAATTAAACAAGTTGACTTCAACTAGAATATAAAATCTTAACAAAAACCAAGTGGCTTGAAATGTTTTAGGTTTTAAAAAGTTAACTCCAGATGCTGTGAGGATATACAAAAAGGAGGCACTAGTATAGGCAAGGTGATCAGATAGAAAGTTATTGAAATTATACAGACAAACAACAACAGTGGCTTGAATTAGTGAAATAAGTAAAGATGATGATAAGTGGTCAGATTTCTGGAATATATTTTGAAAGCAGAGCTGACTTGTTGATGGGTTAGACATGGGTGTGAAAAAAGAGCAGTCAATGATGACTTTGAAGTTTGGGACCTGAGCAACTGGTTGATGGTGATACCATTTACTGAGATCAGGAAGATTGGAAAGGATAAAAAAAAGAAATTGAGTTGGGGCCAAGTTAAGTTTGAGACAGCTATTAGATATTCAAGTGGAAATGAAATCCTACAGATGTTATAAGGCAGAAAACTGAAATAAAAGTCATGATCACAGCCCTGGCCGGCTTGGCTCAGTGGATAGAGCATCGGCCTGTGGACTGAAGGGTCCTAGGTTCGATTCCAGCCAAGGGCACATGCCTGGGTTTCGGGCTCGTTCCCCAGTAGGGGGTGTGCAGGAGGCAGCCAATCAATGATTCTCTCTCATCATTGATGTTTCTATCTCTCTCTCCTTTTCCCTTCCTCTCTGAAATCAATAAAGAGAAATATATTAAAATAAATAAATAAAAGTCATGATCATAGGGTTTTTGTTAAGGAGAATAATTAATTTAGTAGAACCTGGTAATAAGGATCAACTAATCTCTCAAGTTCAGTTTCTCCACCTGTCAATAATTTCTGCCTGTCTCAGAGGGGTGTTATAAAGACAATAGACCCAACCAGCATGGCTCAAGGGTTGAACATGGACCTATGAACCAGGAGATCATGGTTTGCTTCCTGGTCAAGGGAACATGCCCTGGTTGCAGGCTTGATCTCCAGTGTGAGGCGTGCAGGAGGCGGCCAATCAATGATTCTCTCTCATCATTGATGTTTCTCTCTCTCTCTCTCCCTCTCCCTTCCTCTCTGAAATCAATAAAAAATACATATATATTTTTGTTAAAAAAAAAAAAAAAAAACAATGGCCACCACATAATGAGCACTCAAAAAATATATCTGAAATGAAAAGAATACCACCTGTAAACTATAAAATTCCCAATAGACAGACAGACTTATAAACTGTGTTTCTACATACACTAGTTGGCTTTATAGGCAATTTTTTTTAACCTACAAATAACAGGATCTTAGTGACAGACTGCTCAGAGAAGTTGTATTATATTTTTCTTTAGTCTCACATTAATTTAAGTTTCTATTCCATGTGCTTTCATATCCAGTACTCCTATGAAACTACTAGAAGCCCAGTGCACGAAATTCATGCACTCTGGGGCAGGGAGGTCCTTCAGCCTGACCTACGCCCTCTTGCAGTCCAGAAGCCCTAGGGCAGTGATGGCGAACCTTTTGAGCTCGGCGCCTCAGCATTTTGAAAAACCCTAACTTAACTCTGGTGCCGTGTCACATATAGAAATTTTTTGATATTTGCAACCATAGTAAAACAAAGACTTATATTTTTGATATTTATTTTATATATTTAAATGCCATTTAACAAAGAAAAATCAACCAAAAAAATGAGTTCGTGTGTCACCTCTGACACACATGTCATAGGTTCGCCATCACTGCCCTAGGGGGATGTCCGACTGCTGCAAAGGCCGGAGAGGCTCCCGCCACCGCCGCTGCGCTCGCCAACCACGAAC